AGCATCCTCCCATTCGGTTGTGGGCAGTGATTGGAAGAACTCGGATTGCTGAACGGCATCTGGGTTCTGCTGTACTAACTCTAGACGCTCGACCAGAGGCTTCTGAAGATCCTCCTTTGAGAGCACAGACGGCCGGGCACGGGGATCAGTATCGAAGCTTTCGTTCCTAAGCTGCTCGTAACTCATCCCGAACAGCGTCGTGTGGTCGTAGTCTTCATGGGAGACAACCTCAGGCTCCTCGATCGGCGCTTGTTCAACCGATTGCTGCTGCGCGACGGGTTCATGTATAGCCGGTACTAGAGGCTGGCGCTTTTGAGGCGCATGAGGCTCACTGGGCATGGCATTGTTCCTGGGTGGGGGCTGCGTCCTGGGGCCAGAAGACTGTCGAACAAGGTGTTGCTGAGATTTGCTGGGCTGTTTCTGGGTACTAGGGTGAGGACCCGAATACATCGGCAGGTTGGCAGTGCTATTATGCTTGTCCGGATTATAGGCTTGGTGTTGACTGGTGGGAAGGGCGAGGGCGTGATGCTGAACATTTTGACCTCCAGCCTGCCGGGAAGGCGCGGCAGTGCGAGACTGCTCGCGGAGCTGCGCACTATGCTGAAACAAACCCGATGCCTGCTGCGTATCCTGGCTGACAATTGGCATGTTTCGCCGTTGCTGTTGTTGCGGGACGTGGGACGCCGGCATGCGTGCAGCTTGCTTGTTTATGTTCTGACGTTGAGGCGGAGGGGAACTGGGAACAAACTCGTTTTGGTAGTTGGAGAGTGCTTCCGGCCCGCCTTCCCACTCGGATGGCTCACCATTGGTAGTCGGGGGATACGAGTCGCCTCGGACTGTTGGGAGTCCACCGCGCCCTGCCTGATGCAAAAAGGCGACTTGCTCATCGTAAGTAAGATGTGCTACTCCGCTCGCATGAATGAATTCTTGGTTCATTTGCACCATTTCGTCGTCATAATCTTCAGATCCGTCTTCCATATCCTCTAGCTCGTCTCCATTGTCATCGTCTTCTCCCTCCATCTCCGAAGTGCCACCAAGATTGACGACATGATCTTGCTGTTGGTAGTGCTGCTCTTTCTGTTGACTATCTTCGACCTGTACGACAGATGGGTTCACAGTAGTGTCAAGACTCTCTGCATCAGTGTCGTAGAGATCACGCTTCTGACTTGGACCCGGACCTGATTGTCGATTTTGGAGGGGCGGCTGTAAGACGGCGGAGCTGTTCTGGGTAATGTTGAGTCCGCGCGCCGGAATACCAGAAGTCGCTTGAGGTTGCTGAACGGGATGTCCGTTTCTTATTGATACCCTCGCGTTGGCTGCATTGGCTTGGCGGTCGGGCTTGCTTTGAGGCTGACCAGCGGCAGGACTGCCGGTTCTCTGACGAGCGACAAAGCCTTGCATCGTGGGTAAAGAGAGAGCCACACTCACTCTATTACCTAGATATTTGTCGACGATCAGGTGAAGTTGAGGTTTGCGAGGTGAGTTGAGAAAGTGAGTGCTGAGGCTTGAATGGGAAAGCGCGTCTCTGATGATGCTCTAACTTCATCCGGACAAGCCTCGGCCCCGCCAAAGTGAGCCTAGCACCGCGATGACGATATCTTATCTCCGAGTCGCGGTGTTGCTCCCTTCGCCCATGTGTGTAGACTCGTGCCCCACGAGGTTTGACATTCTACGTTACAACCTGACATACATACACTCGCATCTGACGTCATGGGTGAATGCTATCTCTACAGGCTCCCCAATGAGGCACGCTTTCCTGTTACATCCGTATCGCGTCCAACTTGCTGACCATTGTAGTTACTTCTCCACCTCCTTACGCCCATACCAACGCCCGAACTCCTACAATTGACCACCATATCGCATCGCATATACACGCTCATCCTACGTATCCTTCATAATCGGCTCACTGCAGCTGCCGAGCTACATTCGCACTCGGTGCTTCTCGAATGTTTCCACCCCTCTGCGAAGCTCACCGAGCCCCCGTACTTCTGTACATACCGATGCACCGATGGCTTGAAGAGTTACGATGATTACAACTCTGCTACAAAGGAGGTTGGCAGACTGGCCGAATACAACAACATGTACTCGCGCTTCAAGCCCCATAGGCGCGATTTGGAAGCGGATGGCAGGAGAGTGAAGCGCCGACCTGGAGACGTACCTGGCAGTCGTACCTTTCCGGGGGCAGTACAGGAGAGATACGAAGGCGAGACCGTGAGACAGACACTTGGGTTAGAGGCGCATGAATTGTTCACGCAGCTGGTTGCGCAGACGAATCTTGTCAAGATCGGTTCTCACAATCTCTTCACCAACTTTGTTGACATTGAAGAAGGTGTACTCCGAGTGTGGAGAGATTGGCTGCGAGACATTGCGGCGAGGGGCTTGACGGCGAATACGGAGGTGCCAAATGAGGTTGTTGAGGAGGTAGGTAAGGGCAAAGAGATCGTAAGAGAGGTGGAGGACGAGAAAGCAGACTTGGACGATCCGTGCATCCTATGGGTTAGTCCGAGGAAGGACAGCGGCATACGTTTCAATGTCAGGGAACGGAAGCTTCGGAGGGACGCTCCGATCCTCATCAGCACAGATGAGGATATGCCAGTTACGTATGAAATTGAGTACGACGGTAAGTCCATGCATCCTCCTTGGTGTTGCAACGCTTGCTGATGTCCGGTAGAGCTCCTCATAAGAACGTCGCATCTCCTCTTAATGCTCGAAAGGTCCATGTCACAGGAGGATAATTCATCTGGTAAAGCGGTTGTCTTCGGATCTTTCGGATAATTCAAGCAGTTCAAACAAATGCACGCCAATTCCAGAAGAGTCATGGTCTAGTTGGGTCCAGATCCTCGGTTCTTGGTGGAGTCACCCCTCCTTGGCGCAATCCGTCAACCACAACGCACCAGGGCATCAACGCATCCCCTCCCAACCAACGGCAAAAAGTATGCATTGTCCCAGGCACCCAGGGGCCCAAAAAAATGACCTCGAGGCGATTCGAACGCCTAACCTTCAGGAGGTTCCAGGAGAACTGGAATCTGACGCGCTACCATTGCGCCACGTGGCCTGATTGGATGGAAAAAATTGTGTCAAACATGCAACTTATACCCAGCATTTTGCTCCCTACACAGCAGCTTGATGAGATGGTCTGCTAATCGCGATGGCATCATACTAGTTACAAGTCTAGTCATCGAGTCCGATCCGCTGTCAGAAAGGCCACGTCTCCAATTCCAACGATCTGTATACGCTAATCCTACAACGTTCCTAGCATTACGCAACGGCTTTCTACCCCACTAGTCCTATTCCCTAGCCCAGCATCTGAAAGATCTAGACCTAGATAGTGTCTCGAGTCCACCGACTACAACTGCCCCACCAGCAAAAGCCTTGTGCCCCCATGCCATACGCACGAGGGACGTTTTGTAACTGCTTCCCTGCACCCAGAGTCAGATTAGGAACATTTCAGTTCGATCACAATTGCTATCACAGTCGAGAATAGTACCGAGGATTCGTTAGGTCAACGATAGTCTTGTAGCCTAGAATCTGCACTAACCAGCCACCCTGTGCGGCGTAAGCCGGACGAACTACGTAAACATTTCGATAACACAATTGTGCAGGGCGCCTTCACAATAACCGATTGTGAATACATCAAGAAGAGGCTAAGAAGCAGAGATTATACTAGGAAACAGTTCGTAACACAGCGAAAACTAAGTAATAGAAACCGGGAGGTTCAGATGAAATTAAGAAGAAGTTCCAGCAGTCTAATAACAGCGTCTCTTATTGTATACCAAATTTTGTGCAACTTCAAGGCTAACACCTCTACAGAACTAGCAGTCAACTTTGCCTGGCACAGCGCAGCTGACGTTTTTATACTGTCTACTCTGCTACTACACCCATCAGCAAACATAACGCCTGCCGCCGCTCATCTTGAACCTATCTTACCTAGAGGCAGCATCTACGGCAGCTACAGAGCTATCCGTTGCGGCTACAGAAGCCTAGCAACTGATGCCGCATTTGCTGCTACTGGCGAGGTACCAGACGCAACCACCGCCCGCCTGCATTCATCCCAGCTTCCTCAGCTGCCGCAACGGCTGCTACTAGGGAGGTACCAGACGCAATCACTACTTGCTTGCCTTTATCTCAGCTTCTTCAGGTGCTGCAGCGGCTGCTACTAGAGAGGTATCAGACGCAATCACCACCCGCCTGCCTTTATCTCAGCTTCCTCAGCTGCCGGATCTGCTACTTCCAGCGAGCTTTCCCCTTTGCTACCAGCACCTATCAGTTGCAACTGCGGCTGCTCGTCTGCCATTACCCTAGCTTTCGCTTTTGCTACCGACACCTATCAAGCGTAACCGCGGCCACTCGCTCCTACTATCACCCCAGCCTTCGCCTTTGCTACCAGCACCGATCAGACGCTACCGCGGCCGCGCGCCTGCCATTACCCCAGCTTTCCCTTTTGCTACCGGCACCGATCAGACGCTACCGCAGCCGCGCGCTCGCTCCTGCTATGCCGGCTTTAACTCGGCCACGGTTAGCTCGGACAGCGAAGAAGGCACTGTCGGCGGACATCCTGAGATATCTAGAGCCTCATGATCAGGACGAAGACCAGGATCAGGACGAAGACCAGGATCAGAGTGAAGACCAGCATCAGGACGAAGACCAGTATCAGAGTGAAGACCGGCATCAGGAAGAAGACCAGCATCAGGACGAAGACCAGCATCAGGACGAAGACCAGTATCAGGACGAAGACCAATATCAAGATCAAGACCAGTATCAAGATGAAGACCAGTATCAAGATGAAGACCAGTATCAGGACGAAGACCAATATCAAGATCAAGACCAGTATCAAGATCACGACTAGCATCAGGATGAAGGCCAGTATCAGGATCAAGACCAGCATCAGGAGCGTACACGGCACAAGCAACATGGTACAAAGAAGCGCAGGTTGGCCACCATCAAAGAGGAGGACACTTTAGGAGATGTGTATGATTTTCAAGAGGGGTCTGATTTAGAAGATGAGTATGCTTCGCAAGATGAGTATGCCTCGCAAGAGGAGCATGAAGTATGGGAGGAGCATGAGAAGCAAGAGGAGCATGAAGTATGGGAGGACCAACGGAAGCGACCTAGGAAGCGGCGTCTTTTCAGGGACCACCAGCCTCTTCAGGTCCAGACGGCTGCCCAGAAGACATCATCAGTGGAGCAGGACGAACTCGACGCAAATGGCTTTCACCTATCAGACTTTGAGGACGAGAGCGATCCGCAGACCATCGGCGCTGAGCGACTTGCATGGTCACCTGTTCACGTCCCCTTCTCCGACGATGCCTTGTTTGACATCACCCTGACTGGCGACGATGTTGTGCGCATGGTCGAAACCGCCTTTCCTGTACTCTCAACATCCAACAAAAGGATGAAAATCTTTTAGGACTCGGTAAGTCCTGTCTGTACGAAAAGCATGTGAAACATATACTGACTTTGCACCTCTACCTTTGCAGCTCAACGAGCACCTCCAGAGCTCACCGCCCTTCAGCATACCTGTCCAAGAGATCAATCCGCATACCTGGCCCTTGACGAACCCTGTTATTGACAGCCTGTGGAATGAAGCAGCCGCTGCGGAGGTTGCGCTTGACATCCCCGACACGTATGGAACAATTATTGTAGCGGAACCTGCACCTCATACGTAAAAAGCTAAACAGGTCTGCAGACTACATTAACCTAAAATCTTTTAAAGTAGGTGACCTAACGTTAACGTAGGCTCTAGGCTGTTTAGCTTTTCCCTAGGTTGGTGTGCCTGCGTCTGGTCACTTCTTCCACTAGTAGATCCTTGGCCTTCTCTCTGGTCTTTGAGATGGACTAAGCCTTTCCGTCTAGGGCCTTGATAGTCAAGAGGATTTAGGTGATGATGTAGCCAGCAAGTTTGCGCTTAACGTCGTCCCTTTTGTAGTACGTCAGGGCATCTGATGGCTTTACATTATTAGCTGCCCTGACTTTCATGATGGCCTTTCGTTGCGTCTCATCAATTCCTGATGTCCTCTCTAAGGTTTTGTCTAAGGAGGCCATGTCCAGTGGAGGCCGCTTGAAATGATCGCTAAGGGTGTTGTTCTTCTTTGCGTCGAAATTCCGGAAAGCCGACATCTTAAGAATGCTGCCCGTGCTCAACTAATAGGCGTACCCGGTTGTTGAGAGGAAGTAAGGCAGGTAGAGTTTACCGAAAAGCTGGACTAGGCAGTAGTCAAATATCCGCTCACGGAATGCAAACTGCCTTTGAATGTCCGTTAGGACAGACGCGCGATTCCTCGAGAAAGCTTCGGGATGTGGGATCGCGAAGGCCAAGCGCCTTATCTTCCTAGCCTCGAACTGCAGCCAAGCTAACGGGATTTCATGCTCGAATCGTTTCTTTCCAAATGTCCACAAGACTGTATGCTCGATCTCATTCTCCTGAATGTAGGTCATGTACGCCTTGGCCGCTATTCCCCCAACGACAAGGAGGACTTTTGCCTCAGAGCAAGATATTATCTTGAAGGCATATTCCTGCCAATGTCTGCGAAGTTGAGTGGGAAGTGTTCCTGCTCGAAAGAGGGTCGCTTCACCACCCGGTACAGTCTTGCGATCTATTCGCCGGGGAAAGACGTCCACATGGAACATCGAATGCTCCCTGATATCAGCGACATGGAAACCCATCTCTGAGTACAAAAGCCACATGGAAGAGTTGGACATATCGTGGTTGGTCCCATAAGCCAAGTGCACAGTTGAGTTGACGTCAGCAGTCGGATATGAGGACAACACCATGAGAGAGTCGTTGGGGCTCCCACAGGATTTGACTAACAACCTCTCTGACATATCAAGCCATGCAAAGTCGTCTGTAGAGTCAACCTGGTGGTCAGGAGGGTGAAGAGCTTTCTCCGCATCGGTAGCTTGGCCCCAGTAGCCATCCATTGCTGTGTTTGTAGTTGGCCATGTCGTCGGATACTCCTCGCGCACTGAGATGGTGAGCGGTGGCGATGTAGACAGGTGCTCACGAGCTGACTGGTAGAAATCCGCCATGGCACTGGTTGCAAGGGCGGGATAGCCGCGTTCTACCATCCTTACGACCTCCTCGCTAGACAGCGTGGTATCCGTTAATTCTTGATCAGTAAAGGGCAGGTAAACCCATAACTCTCGTTCCGCTCTGGCAACTTCTGGGTCTTCAGCAACAGCATTATAGACATCCCATCCATGTAGTTCTTCATTGTTTGGGCGCTGTATTTCCCTAGAGTCTTCTGCATCCGAACTAACTGTGGCCTTAGATATCCTCTTTCTTTTGGCCTGTGTGACCATAGCTCCGGTAGCTCTAGCGACGGGCAAGTACGATGCGCAGCTGATGAAGAGGCAGGCGGCTTGGACCGAGGTCGATGTAACGATAGACAACAGCTTCAAACGGGTCAGTTGCTGCGGCAGCTGATGAAAAGGTAGGCGGCTTGGACTGAGGCAGATGTAAGTAAAGACAGCAGCGGCGACTTAGACTGAGGCCGTCGTGAGTAAAGACAGCAGCTTCGACTGGTGCGGTACAGCATTGACAACGGCGGACGTGGGTGCACGATATCAGTGTAAGCATAGCTGCTATTCTTCTTTTTATTCCAACGATGACTGAAATGAAAAGTCCCACCATGACATGGCTGATGAATCGGTGATGGATAGCCGTGGGTATCTAAACGTGAAATGACCTGGACGCGGCGTAATAGCCATGCGTCGTATGTCGTGTGGTGTTATCCTTATGCCTAAACGCCGAAAATTCCATATGCAAAATCTCCCTCCCTCATCCCATAATTGCTCCGTTATGCAATGCGTTTTGGCATGCTAACAGACCTTCGCCGATCCGCCTACCACCAACGCCGTAGATGTCTCATCCAGAAGACCATGTCGAGCCCTAACATGTCGAGTCTGACAATGCAGGAAACGTTTGACTCGTTAGTTATCTTGAGCGGTCTCAATCTGGGCATATTCCTGCCAGTGGCCATCAGCAGCCCTCTTCCAGGTACGAATGCTAGCGTCATCTCCAGTAGTGACTAGAAGATCACCTGTAATAATTGTTAGTTGTGACTGTGCATGTTCTTCCGGTGTGACTTACCCATCTGCGAGAACGCGACACGCCAAACCGCTCCGTGATGATTGGTAAGCTCATCGGTCATCTCTACCTTCTGCTTGATGCGACCAGGATACTGCTCGTTCTCAATGGAAGTGTCGGGGGCCTTGGAAGCTCCTGCCAGTCCAGCTCCGATACCAGATGGGGCGTTCTGTCGATGGCCTCGAGGAGAGACTGAAAGCGGAGCGGAAGACGATGCTTCTCCAGATGCAGTGTTCCTATCCTCGGTCTGCGTACGAAGCTCATAGATGCGAATAGCGCCGTCTTTGCTAGCTGTGGCCAAGATGTCGTAACCTCGCATAGAACCATTCGCCCAGGCTAGGTCTCGAATGATCTGACGAGCACCCTCTAGCTTCGCAACTTGGAAGAAGCGCTTGGCCTTGTCGGTGCGGAAGACAAGGACATCTTTCATAGCAGCAACAGCGAGGGATAGCGACTTGCGGTCAAGGCCAGCGGTGATGGCGGTCCAACAGGGTAGCTTCTCCTTGTGAAAGACGACCTTGAAGCCTACCTCCTCTTGGCGCTCGGGAGGGTTGTTCTCGGAGACCCAGCGCTCTGCCAGGATAGTCCATTCATGGAGGTTGTTCTGATCCTGGGGCTCATAGACAGTGAGATAGCCGTCGCGGGTGATGAGCGCGAGCCAGGTCTCCTGCATGATGTTCTTGAAATCCAAAGACATGAACGGTGCGTTGGTCAATGAAGGGAGTACGTAGACCAGCTTGAAGCGGTTGCCAGACATGGCCACCTCGGTGACGTCCTCTTGCCAGATCTTGCAGCGACCATCTTCACCAATACTACCGACAACCTCGCCCATGAAGGGGCCGTTCCACTTGACCTGTACATGAAGTTAGCGACGGGTCACAAAGGTGGCAAAATGGCATGCAGGTGACCGAAAGAAGATTTGCGGCTGAAGATTAGATAACTTACATCGACAATCTCGGCATCGTGAGCTTTCCAGCTCTCGACCAGGGTCCACGAATCGTCCTTCTTGTCCCAGACCTTGACGCGGTGATCTGAGCTTGCCGTGACCATGCGCGTGCCGAAGTAGTTGAAGTCGACAGCGAGTACGAGGTCCTGGTGGCCATGCGAGAAGGTCTGGAAGCTTCGCTCTGCAGCCATCTCAGCGTAGGCGCGATGCGCACACACAAAGGCCACCTCTAGTTGGTCGATGACGCGCTGCTCGACGCTGCCGGTGCTGCCGTCGGCGCAGGGCTCCTGAATCAGGGGAGCGATTAGATCCACGTGCTCGATCTCGTCTTCGAAAGCGGCGGCGATATTGAGATGCGGTCTCCGTGCAGGCGACCGTGCTTCCTCCTTGGTGGGGCCCAGCGAGGACGAATCGCTGACTGCAGCAGAGGGCAGACGCGACGCTGTCAAGTGCTGGAGGAAACTTCGCGACGCGAGATGACTGCTCACCGCATTCAGACCGTCCAGGAGCTCATCAGCCTTGGCTGAGCGGCTGGCTTGGTTGTGGTCCGCCATGTTGATGCCAATGTTCGTGGGTCTATCGTTTCGGGTTAGCAGAGCAGGAAGAAGCCGAAACAACACCTTGCCAGAATCTCTACTCACCAAACACCGCAACCACGACCTCGTGCAGATTGTACTGCTCTGTTCGTCTCTGGCTCACTCTGCGAGCTTGTTGGTTTCGTTGCTGGAGTCGTGGATCTGTTCACAATCTTTATCTGTCAGTCTCAAGTCCACTTCGAACGATTCACGCAGAGTCACGCTCCGGGTTCAGACAAAGAGGTGGCGATTCGGCAAAACGGCAGGTCGTGACGGCGTTGCTGTGGGGAGGTTGCGCAACCGTTGTTGATATCGTCGCGACAGCAAACGGCCGCGCGGAGTCAACAGCTACAGGCGTCCACGTGCCAAGATCCGCCGTCACCTCGACATCAGACACTATCACTGTCACCATGGCGAGCGCGCTATCATCAACAGAATCAATTTCACTGCTCTCCTTGTCGCTCGCATGTGTCGGTGTGCTGGCCAACACGCTTCACGGTGACGGTGAGCCGCTTGTTGCGTCGATAGCGCTCAGTGGTCTGGCCTTTGCATTCTGTTATGCTTTGATACGATGGCTTGGGGATGCCTTTGCGAAGCGTGGCTTCAAAGGGAAGGATCTATGTAAGCTGAAGCAGATTGAAATGTAAGTGTCAAGTGTACTGTACATGAAAACGATTTACTGACAGGGATAGCCCAGAGATGATGGGCGCGGTCTGTGCTATGGTGTATCTTTTCATCTTGATCTTCTTCATACCATGGCCGTTCTACAAAGACATTGTAGTCGCAACATCAGGCGGCGG